CATGGCTGTAGTTTTTTAACCAGGCATACCAAATAGTATATGAGTAGGTTAGAGGAACTTCCTTGTCATATCAACCATAAAGTGGCCAACCTATCCTGAACTATGAATAATTGAATAAGTTGACCAGTTGATTCTTCAATCTTTATCACGAGCTGCTGTTTCAGACTTCATGCCAATAACTTCTTCCCTGCATTCCTATGCTCTGTTTGCTTGTAGAGGTGTGACCCATTTTCGGCTGAGCTATTTACGGTTCAATCCTCTGGTCGATCAGTTCCTGTCCTTTGCAATTCTACCATTTCAACAAATACTACTCAGTCAAAGGCGGCAGTAGAGGACTTCTGCTCCCTAGTTTGGGATACATGCCAGAATGTGTCCATAAAAAATTCTCCGTTTTCTCCTACATTACGAGGTCAGACAGGAGGAGCTACGGTAAATACTGAAGCTGCCAAGCTCACTGAACTTTGGCAGTCCAAAACTGATTTCTGCAAGGCATTTGGCGGAGCTTCAAGTGATGAATCAGTATGTTTTGATGGTAAACCTGTTGAACTAAATAAAACTAAGACTCCTAATAGCCCTCCAGATGGCTTGTGTCTTGAGAAAATCGGCAATGGATCGTATCTCAACATGGTTGCTCATCCTGATGGTTCTAATCGCGCTTTCTTCTCTAACCAAATGGGTAAGGTGTGGTTGGCAACACTTCCAGCTGAGGGATCCGGAGGGACAATGGAGTTTGATGAATCTAGCCCCTTTGTTGATCTGACTGATCGGGTCTATTTTGATTCAGCATTTGGAATGATGGGCATGGCATTTCATCCAGACTTTGCGAAAAATGGTCGTTTTTTTGCGTCATATAACTGTGATAAGTCTAAGTCACCACAATGTGCAGGAAGATGTGCATGTAACTCGGATGTTAATTGTGATCCATCAAAGCTAGGCACTGAAAATGGTGCACAACCATGCCAGTATCAATCTGTTATAGCAGAATATACTGTTAATGGTACTGCAAACCAGCCTTCCATGGTACACCTCTCTGCACCCATAGTTTCTATGCATTTAGTTCAATCCAATGAGTAGAACTGAATTTTTGTTTTTCCAGGCCGAAAGTGCGAAACCCATAGAGGTGAGAAGGATATTCACCATGGGTCTCCCATTTACGTCTCAACATGGGGGTCAGATACTCTTTGGGCCTGATGATGGGTATTTATACTTCATGATGGGATATGGAGGCGGCAGTGGTGATCCATATAATTTTGCCCAGAACAAGAAATCGTTGCTTGGAAAGATCATGAGACTTGATATTGACAACATTCCAAGTGAGTATAGCTCATTATTAGCTGTGAATTTGATACAATACCTTGTTCAACCAAATGATGCTAAGTTTTCAACCTTCAGTTGGATCAGGTTTCACACTCTAATTTTTCACCGTATAGTGATACTACTGTATCCCAAATTTCAATTGGTTTCTGCCCTATCACTTTAACGAAAGATGACAGGCGCCTTGAAAACCATACTAACATCCCATTAGCGACCCCCTTTAAGATCTTGAAGACTTCTTTTAAAAATTTTCTATTGTTGAATTGATTTATGTTAGCCACTTCATTGGATCAGGTTCCCATTGTTCGCTGTCCATGACAAGTACAATTACTGATACCAGTTAACAGGCAAATTTTAGATAAATATCATTCTATCCCACACTTGGGTGTGACATCTATCTTGGATCTTTCAGGTGCAGAAGAAATCACCAAACTTAATCTTTGGGGTAACTACTCTATTCCTAAGGACAATCCATTTACTGAAGATGCAGATCTCCAGCCTGAAATATGGGCACTGGGATTAAGAAATCCTTGGCGCTGTAGCTTTGATTCAGAAAGACCTTCCTACTTTGTGTGTGCAGATGTTGGCCAGGTTTGTAAAAGCTTATGAATAATCTGGTGAAGTTAATAATTACAGCACCGTTATAAACAACTAAATAAGGAACCTAGGTCCTCTGAAGTGACATGATTGCCGCTTTCCCCACAAGAGAAACTTCAAAATTTTTGAAATGTGTACAAATTCAAGTTACATTTCCAGTTTTGACTCGTACGTATTATGTCTAGTGTATCACTCAACAAGAAGAATCCTCAGTGGCCCTCTTCCTGTATCAGAATTACATTTCTGTAAAATCCAGCAAATTTGAGGTTATTAATGCTGATTTACAGGATCTTTACGAGGAGGTGGATCTCATTACAAAAGGCGGGAACTATGGGTGGCGTGTTTATGAGGGCCCCTACAAATTCACCCCTGAGGATTCACCTGGAGGCAACACTTCTTTGGACTCCATAAATCCAGTATTCCCAATAGCAGGTTACAACCATTCCGAAGTAAACAAGAATGAAGGATCAGCCTCCGTTACTGGGGGCTATTTCTATAGGTCTATGACTGATCCTTGCACGTATGGAAGGTAAACAAGCATATTCTTCTATGGCCTTCGAGGTAGAAAGCAGCTCTCTTTGAAATTTTACCAACTTCTGCTCATCAATCATTGCGTGGTTGTCAGGTACTTGTATGGAGATCTGTATGCGGTTTCTATGTGGGCAAGCATTGAGGATCCGGAAAATAGTGGAAACTTCACTACCAACAAAATCCCTTTCAGTTGTGCACGTGATTCTCCTATCCCATGCGACTCTGTACCCGGAAGCTCCCAGTCATCTATAGGTTACATCTTCTCATTTGGGGAAGACAACAATAAAGATGTTTATGTGCTTACAAGCACTGGTGTTTACCGTGTTGTTCGTCCAAGTCGATGCGGTTACACTTGCTCAAAGGAAACTGCTACCCCAGCAGGTTCTAGCCCAGCCCCTTCTCCATCACATGCTAGCCGTGGGAGTATCCTTTCTGACAATCTGTTTCTGCAGCTTTCATATTTCCTGTTGTATCTTATATGTTATCATCTCCTGAACACTATGTAAAGACCAGGGGAGGATGAATGTGACGCTACAGTACCTCTTTATCCTTTCCAAGTTTTTCTCTCGTTCTGTATGATTCATCAGTAGAAGTTTTTGAGTATGGACTATTGAGGTTCTCGTTCTACCAGTGTCCCTTCTACTTTCTTCACTGTGTTCTTCTGTGATCTTGCTGCATGGCTGAGTTGAAATAAGCCCCATGTCAGGGAGCTCCTTGTTATGTGAGCCATTCAGTAGATTATCGATTTCATTTAATTCTGGTAAAATTCAATTTCAAAATAGCGTTACCCATTTCAGTTAGCTTCAGGGACCATAAAGGCTTGGAATGTTTCTGTTGGAGAAAGAATTATAGTTAGAAACAGATCGTGCTATCAACTGGCTGCCACTGAGAAATCAAAACCAACCTGGCTCGCAATATTGGAACTTCAGTGATTATACTTGGAAGATGAAGGGGCAGAGAGGGTGTTAATGGAAAGATTCAGCCACTAATTGAAACATTAGAAGATCTGTCATTAAATACTACGAATCATATCATTCATTGAATGTATTCCAAATGGATGTGCAGCGACGATGATAACCTTCACATCAATATGAGCAATCCACATTCAAACAATAGACATCCTAGAAACACAAGACGTTTTCCCTTTGAACAATTTAGAGCAAAATAACGCTACCCTAACAAATTCAAAATCAAGCTAGATTACAAGTAAGATGGAAGGGGGAGAAGTGGGGATCAGTTGATATCAGAATCATCGAAATCGTCCTCGAAGGAGTTGAAAAAGTCGGCGTCGGCGAGCTTGTTGTCGGCGCATAGAAGTCCGTCGCCGAAAATATCGAGAGGGTCAACATCGTCGACGTCCATTGCCATGACCGATCCTTGCTCCTCCATCTCTGCAACTGCAAACACGTCCATTGGTGTCGGTCGCTTCACTCGCTTCCTTCTTACGGCCAGGCGCCCGTACAAAAGAATCGGTCGTTGGCCTCTGTGGCACCCTTTTATACTCCCAAGAAAGCCATCATGAGGGGGCAACAATATAACATGTCGTTCTGCTACATGTGTTCGCATTTTCGTTTGGGCTAGGGTAAGGAATTTTTACTCATTCGGGTCCATTTAGTAATAATAGGACTTTTAGGAGCTACTTCCTCTTTGACCAAAAAAAAAAAAAAAGAAACAAAAAAGGCACTCCCTCATGATATGATGCATTAATGTGTGAATTTTCAAACAGTTGCTCATGCCTACCAAACTCTTCATTCTTCCAAAGAGGATCAGGGTCATGGGTTGCTGGAATAGATCAAGGCTCTAACCCTTTTGCTTCATATTCACCTAGGAAAATGATGGTGGACCGCACAACTTATTTGTAAAATAGCAATTTAGGGTGTCTTTGATAATTTGTTGGATCTTGACAAAGCCATGTTTTAACCCCCAAAAAAAGGCAGTAACTTTGGTTTCAAGTTATAAAAACATTTTTACGGAGGCATATATATTCTTTTATTAAAGGTATATTTGATATGCTAAAAGGAAGCACATCTTTCAATAATAATTCAAATTGTAATTCGTTATATTATAAGAGAGTACTTAATTCTACTAAACCTAATCTTAGTTATTAACATTTTTTCATTGCTTTTTGGTAAAAAAAATTCTAAACTAAAGACTTTGGCTTCCATCTTGTATCATCAATCTGGCTTTGAAGTAAATATTTCAAGTCATGAAGCTCTCATCTGTTTTATTCATCAACTTCAGAAAATTTACCTCTTACAATGAAAACGAGATAAGAAAATAACAAATTCATTTAGATAAACTAAGATTAGTGTTAACATATATTTACTCGGTTTGCTCCTTGGATTTTATGCCAGTACCCAAGTTCTAAATGTCTTATATTACAGTTTAGGTTTTTTTATCTAGATTAAGAAAACAAGACTTTGAAGAATGGGGTGATGGCCGTAGAAAAAAAAAATGAAGAAGCAATATTCCCTTTTTTTCCCAGGTGATAAAAATCGACCTGGGGATACTTCTTGCTATAATTCGGAGGATCAGCATATGATTTTGTCTTGCTGCCTTGCCAAACTTTACTTTGTAACTCAGAAGTAACACCCGAACTGTTCCAACTAAAGAAGCAAAGCGAAATCAAATCAAAATCGCAGCAATTGAATCGACACTCTTCATCTCTCTCCCCTCTCCACTGTATCACCTCGTCTCTGTTCCTATTTGCAGTCACATAAGCCGGACGTCTATATAGGTTCATTTCTGTATTGGGACTGAGGGCTTCAAGTTGGATCCTTTGGCTCTTCAAATATCACAATTTTAATTTATTTTCTACTTTCTAGTTTCCATACGTTGTGTTTGCTTCTCTCTTCAGTGGGAAAAAGGGCTTTTCTCTGTTTTATTTTTTATTTTTAGTTCTATTTCTAACAAAATCCCTTTTACTTTGATTTCTCTCTCCAATGCTTCCTGGCTACCTTATGATCCTCACTACATAAAATCCCGCCATGACTATACCCAAACCCTTTTGAGTTTTGATCTACATGACCATGTCCCAGGGATCTCCTTCTCCTCTTGTTTCTAACGAACCCTCTAATCGATCCTCCCCCGAACCCAATTCTCGGGGCCATATATCAAATTCCACCCACGACGTCGTTCCCACTTCTAAGGAGGAAACCACCGCCGCTCCCACCACTACCAGGAGCAACCGCCCGCCTCGCGCGTGCACCATTCGAGCTGCTTCTCGCCTCTACTCATCGACGCAGCCGGCCGCCGGCCGGCGACTCAAAGGTTCGAAGAAGGGGCAGCGGCTGCCGGAGGACTCGCCAGAGCAACAGCAGCAATGTAGCAGTATTGTGACTCCACTTGTGGAGCTTCCGTCACCTTCGCAGTTGCCTCGATGGAACCTGAGGTCTATGTGGGAGTTAGCTTCAATACTCAATTTCTTGCATGTGAGCTGGAAAGCTGTGATCTTTGCTATCGAATTGCGTTGATGGATGGTGTGATTATGTATGCAGTGTTTTGGAGCTTACGTATTTGCATTGCCTTGCCGTTGCAGGTATTTAGGCCTCTTTTGAATATCTCAGCCGAATTCTCGGCCGAAGAGTTTGAGACTGCTCTCCTTTCCCCCAATGACACATTGAGTGATATACATATGCCCTTGCTAAAGGTTGGTGCTTTGTTTTCAGGAACGGTGGTCAAGTCTTCTGGTTTCTTTATGCTAGCTTAGTATTCTCTATTTTTTATGTTTTCTTCTCTGAAGTATGATTAATCAGAGTTTCTTTCTGTTTTGTGTCAGACTTGCAAAATTTGCAGTATTTTATAACGTTGTACCTTTAACTTCAAATTATTGCTTGATGCTAGTTTAGTTGACCGCTGAACTATGAGATGAATTTACAGTTTTAAAGTTGTAATCATGAGCCCGTAGGAAGATGTGGTGTCTGAAAGAATATAGAATGACTCAGCCAGACATTTGCTTTTATCTAGCTTAAATGGTAACATGAACATGAATACTTGCCATGTGTTCTGGGAATATTTTTATCTCATAGGTGAAAACTTGGGTAAATTTTTATGTCAATGGGTCATGCCCATGTGAGAGACTTGAGGAACCCCCAAAACTTGCATGAAGTATCTTAATATTCTGAATGCAATATAGTTTTGTAGGTAATTAATCCTTCTTCCAAAACAGTAATGTGTACTTCAATGCTGGAGAGTTTCTAGGAAGGTTCAGTCATCTTTAAAAATAAAATTACTAAGAGGAAGGGTCAACATGGAAAAGTACTGCAGTTTTTGGGACAATATTATGCTTTGTTGAGGGGCAGAGCAAGTGAACTCTTTTAAAGCTATTGATGTTACTTCTTACAGTTTAAAATTTTGCATTGTTTGGAGTTTTCTTTTCTTATGAGTTTCTGATGCATAGTGTGAATGACCCTCTGTCTCAACGTTTATGACTTCATGGCACAAGAAATCTATCCTTCACAATTATGCGTGTTTGCAAAGCTGCTGCTTGTCTGTTTATAACATCTATAATCTAATTATATATTTTGATAGGCGATCCCTCCCATTACACGAATGGCACTCACACGTGATACCTGGATAACGGTATTATGCAGAAAATTGAGAGATTGGTGGCATTGGGTAATGAAATCATTTTCAGCTAGTTCATATTAGAGAATAATGTGAATTCTGTAGTTACAAGGGTTGGGATTTAAACGCAGGTTGCGGATGGAGAACTTCCTATTGTTGCTTCACATGGGTAAGTATGGCTGCTAATGTCAAATGAGTTATGATGTTAATCTATATGTTATCCGAAGTCTCAGATGATGCTGGCATGGCAGGCTAGAAATAGAGGCATACAAATCACTTGATCCTGGGATTCGTGTGGTCATCTTAAAGGCACTATGTGACATTCGCGTTGAGGTACTATTACTGTTAATTTGTTCTGCCCCCATGTATTTTCACATTGAGCAGGGCGTACTTCACATATTCGCGTTAATATTTATTTTGGAGGATCAATAATCTTTGTTTAATTTGACTTCTTTATCTTTTGGGGATGGGGAGAAAGGTGCGTCCATTACATATGAACATCTATTTTGAGGTTCAAGTGAACCATTATATTTCTCATGCTGTTGTAGCTTGATATTGTCCTACTTTATATATCTGTTCTACTAATCAACCAATGTCTCAAATGATTAAACTTGGCTGAAATTTTGCAGCAAGAAGATATTCGAAGTTATATTGACAGCTCACTCAAACGTGGTGTTCAACTTTCATCATTTCGTAAAGAGCGTATTGGGGGTGATTCCCATGGAATTTCTTATTGGTAATATAGTAGTACTTCTCAAAATCTAAAATTTTATTCTGACTATTGAAATTTTGAAACTATCTGGTATGTTCCTGTAATTAGGAAGAAGAAAGAGGGAAAGAGAGTAGGACAGAGGAGAATAGAGAGATAGAAGAGAGTGAGAGAGAAAGAGAGAACCTGAGAGCACAAGAGTTGGGGATAATCCTGACTTTATTAGCTATTCACTGTACAATTGATTTAGTCTAGGGAGTATCCTTTTATAGAAGGAAAATGGAAACGGAAAGTGTAACTAACTTAACTAATGCTGACACACTATTCTAACGGTAACCAAAGGTTCTAGGCTAATGACTCATCTACCCTTACTTAGATTACACGGATTATAAATACATAACACTATTGTGGTGAAAAGCTACTTTACGTTTATTTCTGTTCATTTTATTCATTTGGCATTTGGTTTGAGCAGGTATGAAGATGACCAGATGATTGGCCATAGGTTGTATCGGGAAGTGAGGAAAACTGAAGTGATTCAAATGAAGAAAGGGAAACCAAAAGGTTCCCGGGTCAATTCTAGTACAACATATCAGTGGGAAGCAGTTGCTACCAATTTTGATGAATTTGTAGATGTCACGGTAAGTTATTGAAGCCTGTATATGATCATGCTTCTGTGTTATCCAATAACAGTGAGCATGTTTTCAAGTAATTCATGAGTGCCATTACATGATGTTGTCATGTGAACAACAGAAATTCATCTTAATTTTGTCATGATCAGGAACCCTAACTTCATTAAAATCACTTGATGAAAGAACACATGATATGCTTACATATAATATTGCATCAAATTTTTTCATTTTCCATAGCCATTTCTTTTGGTTGCTGAAAATGAATTATAGTCTTTTTGAAGATCTTGATAGACAAAAAAGGGTTGAATTTATCACTGAACGACTCATTCTATGTTATAGAGCATAGGCCAAAATACAATAAGCATGACAATTCTGCAAATGACCCTTTGCCATGTTATAATGTGGGGAAAACATCTTTATCCTCATGGGTGTATGGAGGTTTGATAACTTGTCAAACCAGCTTCATACTGAAATCAAATCAAGGTAGTAATAATTGGTTTTGGGGGCAAATATTTTAAATGTCTGCATCAAAAAGGTTATTACTCTTGATTTACGCTGGCATCTTTAGGATATTACTTTTTGAGATTATTACTTTGGATTCATAAACTAATATGGTAGGCTTTAATTTTTTTCTTCTATGTCTTCAGAGAATTTTGAGCTTGAATAGTGCATTTATCTTTTGTTGATAGCTTATGAATATCATGGATGCTACATTTATTTAGTTCTTGTTCACGTCATAAGTTTTCAAACTTTACGGGAAGTGTTATTTCAAACTACATTTATCTTTTTGTGTGTGTCTGTATATCATGTTTATCACTTTGATTTACACGATTGAGTACCTTTCTAACACCTCTCATTTAAGGCATTTTATAGGTCTAGCGCATTCGTTTTGACCTTTTACTGTGTTGGGTTAAACCTAGCTTCCACCATTATTTAATGGGGTTATGTTTGACCAACGTTACTGGTATATTTTGAGGGGTAGACCCTCGGCATGATTATATTTATGTCAATATTGTGTGTGTGAGAGGGTGTGTGTGGATGTGTATACACCTCTTCTTCTACCACAGCCTGTGGATTCTAGCCTTTTTTACTTTGCATCGAGCTGTATCTTGTTTGAATTTGCTCATCTTCATATGCAGAATAAGCTTTTCTCAAGCAAAAACAAAACGGAGGTGTCACTAGGGAAAAAGTTGAAGATAGACATGCTTCCTGAGATTGAGAAGGTTCATAAGGTACTCGTTTGTATATTTTCGCATGTGTTTCCTGATCTTTGCTTTGATGAGGAAAATGAGAATATGATGGCATTGTGCGAATCAATGAAGAATCCTTGGTTGTTCTGTTTTTACCTTCTTGGCATTTTCAGTGTCGGTTTAGCTGTGTTTAGTTGCTTAACCAATACTAAACTATTTTGTACTCACTATATGCACAGAAAAAAGAGCGGTTGCTGAAAAAGCAACAAAGAGAAGCTCTTCTTCTTGATAACTTCTTGGTTGTTGATGGGATTGGTCCTGGGCGGTCACTTCGGGGCAGGAAGCCTGTTACCTATACATTTGGTAAGAGCAAGAAAGCTGAAACCCATCGTTACTGGTTGCTGCATTTGAATTTTATTGGTATATGATACTTGGTTACCAATGCTCGCATTAATTCAGTTATTGCCTTTCATCATCCTTTTTTTTTTCACATTTTATTTCATCATGTTATCATTTGTCTCATTTAACAATACTTAATTTTAGTGATTTTGTTATTTTGGGTCTGTGGGGGCCTTAGATACTGTTGCATGGGGCATAAGGTCTGGGTGTGATAATTCTAATATTCATCAATATAGTAATTACCATTCTTCGTGGGACTTACAAAACGGTAGGTTCCTGTTTTTGGATCATGAGTCATCTGATTTGATCAATTTGTCATGGTGATTCTTTCTGGTACTTGGCAGATGTTAGGATACTTTCTCAGCATGATGGCAGCTTCATGCATTGGCACTCTGTTTTTCTGTCATTGTTATCAAATCCCAATTTGAACTACCTGATTACTGTCTTTTATTTCAATCTAACATGCGGGGAATTAGGGGGCAATTGGGGAAATAGTGGGGAGAGGGTCTGTTGGGAACACAGGTCCCATTTGGTATGACGCATTAAAAATAAAGGATAAGGATTGTGATTAGGATTGGAAAAACATGTTAAAAGAGTGTTTAGTATGAATATTCTCTTATTACATGGGATTAGACAATCCCATATAGGTGGGATTCCCCAAACCCACATGTATGGATTTGCCCAATCCCAATTAACCAGCAATCACTCATATTAAACACTCTTTTAACATGTTTTTCCAACTTCAATCCTTACCCTCATTTTCAATTCTTTATACCAAATGGGACCATAATGTATTTGATTTCACAAGACCCCTCGATACATCTGTGCTGCCCCTATTTGTAATGATACCACACTATATTCCCAAACTACTCTCTCCTTGCTATTTCCCCAATTAGCCCCCTGATTCCCCATGTACCAGAACGTATTCAATTATCTTGCTACAAAATACTTTAATGAGATGAAGGTATCCTAATGGAAATTTTGACATAAATATCTTTGCAGATGATTATGATCGGTCCATCAATGAGGCAATTGAGATGACAAAGTATGGAATTCATCATTATCATTTCCGCCCTGCTCTCCTCTTGCTGTTTTTCATCTGCTTTTTTTTTTTTTTTTGGGGGGGGGGCCGGGGGGATCATACGCGTTTGTGTTTGGTGTTAATGGCTATATCCGCTTCCTCCTTTGTCAGACGAAAACAACCGTCCCCAGAGCCTATGGCCAGGAGAGAAGCAGGAGAAAAACCTGAAGCTTTGAGTAACGGTAAATTGATTGGGCCTTCACACGCCCCTGAACATCTGAGCTTTGGTATGCCATCTCCAAATTCACCTGACTTTGATGATGCCGAAGAAGAGCTTGAATCTGAACCATTGGATCGAAGGTTTGTGTCTTGTGTAAATTTTTTCTGGTCCTTTGTATCTGATCTTTGCTGATTGACTTGTTTTCACAGCAGCAATCGACGAAGACAAAGGCCTATGCGGTATTCAGAGAAAGAGTTTGTTGAAGCACTTTCAGATAATGAGGAAGACTTTGATAGTGATGATGATATTGTTGGAGAAGCCGTGTATGATGACGAATATCTCAGGCAACGTAAGCAAAGAAAGGTTTCTAGTAGCTCTGAAGGAGATGAAGAATACCAATGGGATGAAGAAAATGTTGAAGATGATGATCAGGAAGATTCGTTGAGCATCAGTGAGGACAGTAGTGACCAACCCCGTAAATTCAAGCCATTGGCAGGCCGTACTAGGAGGGAAACTAAGCTCCAATCTGTTGGTGAGATTCAATCAGGTCTTCGACGCAGTAAAAGGGTTACCAGAAACCGAATAAATTACAGACAATATGTGATGTCAGATTCAGAATCAGAATCTACAAAACCTAAGAAGTCTAATGCTGCAGATGATCATTCAGATCCCAGTGAGAATGAGAACGGGGAATATATGATGGAAACTGAAACTGAAGATTCAGATGTTGGCAAAGATGACGAAGAGCGAGAGGATGAACAAGAAATGAACCTAGATAAGCCAACTGATTTTCCTGTGGAGGAGAGAAAACAAAACCAGCCGCCAGAAAGACTAAACAGTCCCGCTCAGGAGGAAGTTGAGGGCATGAACAAAAGACGCTTCCTTGATTTGAATGAGCTTGCTCCTAGCTCAGGTTTTGAAGATGGTCCAAACTCGATAATGAAAGATGAAAATGATGATTACTGAAGCTTCCCCTTCTAGATAGTAGATATTAGTCTTCTGATCGAGGAAATATGTATGATGATATAATTATAAATTTTGTTATAATCCCCAAGGTTACCATCAGATCACTTCCAAAGGCATAACCTAGGCAGCTACCATGATGCGTGATTTTCCACCTGTAGCAGCATGATGGTGAGTTGTATAGTATAGTTAGTCATTTTTACTAAGCCTACATTCAAAAGGTCAATGAAAATGAATGAGAATGAAAACTTGCTGGCTGTTATTCAGCCTCACCCAGGCAATGTACAATAACTAGTACTGTAACCTCACACAGATACGGCTTCTTGGATCATCAAGCCATGTAGTTCTATTTTTCTTGAACCATATAGTAATCATCAGCTTGAGTTCTTCATCGGCACACGGGTCTGATTGGCTTTGTCGATAACTTTGGTCAGATCAAAATCTAAAGGCTCATTCGTTTTGACTACACTATTGCTTCTGTTGCCTCAATTGTTGATAATATTGTTTGCTGCAGCGCTACGTTTGGTGAAGTTGAGACACTTTCTACACTTGTTCGGGTTAAAATGAATTTCAAGTGACACTAAATGAGAGAAAGTGGTATGAATTTTACAAGTTGTATGATAGAATATTTGCAAAAAGTTTTATTTTATTTCAAGACATAATAATGTAATTTATCTCAAATTTCATAGGGTACAAGTCATATTTGGGGTGTTTTGATAAAAACTAAATCATAGGTTTAAAAGTGTTTTTGTGGTACATGAAAGAAGTGTTTGGAAGTCTCCAAAAGTGTTTCTTAGAAGTATTTTTTTCACAAAACGAAGCTAATTCCTTCATATATTTATTTTATACACTATAGAAATATTTTTAAAATCATGATTTTAATTCCATTCAAACATTTTCAAAGTAAATATGTGAAGGAGATTATTTCAATTTGTGAAAAATTGTTTTTTAAAAGCATTTATTGGGGTTGCCAAACACCCCTTAATCTAAAGTTGATGGGGATGACTATAATTATTTTTTTTATTTTGAAAAATGTGCTCGTCTATTAAGATGAAAAACGGTTGGCAAAAACAAAAAACAAAAAGATAAAAAAACAAGCTATGTTAATTCGGTCAGTGAAAAATAGGCTTCAAAAAGCATCTTTATATTTGTACTGTAATGTATGTATCTATTTATCACACCATGTGTGTGTGTTTGATTAATATAAAATAAAACAGTACTTTTAAAAGGGATGGTTTTGCAAAGAAAAGAAAACATGGATTGTAGAAGGAAACATAACTGAAAGCGTTTTTATCTTGATTTCTTCATATTAGTCATAAAATATAAAATAAATTTAATTATTCATAAGTCTTAAATAATATATTACCTCTGCTCCTAATTATAACATTTTGCTTGTAGACTATAAATAAGGTTTTATAATTAGAACCGGAGGTAGAATTTTTAAAAAAAATTTTTTTACAGTTTGTGCAATTACAATATACTCACTTTTTTAAATGCTGGGTTTATGTCAATAAAATAATGATAATAATAATAATATTATTATTATTAAAACAAAAGAGGCCAAGAAATAATACCAATATATCAACATATCCCCGTTCAACAAAGAATTTTAACTAGTATAAAACAAATAGAGAGAGAGAGAGAGAATTTTAACTACGCCCCACGTGATGTACAAAACCAGAGGCGGTGATGCAAAGCTAGAATCAACGCTTAATAAATCAAGCACTTTTGCACTGAATATATCTTTTACTCTAGTATTAAACCCATCGTTTCGGCCAAAAAATGAAAAGTATTAAATCCATCCGTACAATTTTTTCAATCAGATAATTGTATGGGGTTCAAAGCCACAGGGATTAGGATCTTACACAAAGAAAGGAGTGATGACCCTGGTAAATCAAAATTCAACAACTTTCCACAATGTTGAGTTTTCTGTAGAAAGTGGATTTGAGGTGGGTAAGAACCAGCACATCTGGACTGCCAGTCATCTAAGATTTCTGAACTGCAGAAGTTTGCTGCGTTGCAATGTCCACATGGTCTCACGTCTTGTATATCTACTTGTCACGCAAAATGAGCATAGCTCTTACTTACTGATCATCTCATATTGCAGCACTGAGGCCTTGTTTGCATTTGCAGTTTATCCCACAAACACTCTAGTTGCCTTGGAGATTGGTAATGTGCTGTGTAATAGCCTTCTACGCAGCCAAACTGGCAGAATTTTAAGCTATGTACATAAATCACTTGTTTTGAGCTGTTAAATTGCTTTACCCACATTCCCATACTCACGTCCTCCATCTTAAACAACTGCAGTGAGAATTATTGATAAAAACGCATTTAGCATAAAGGAAGAAACTTCAAAAACAAGCCATGAGCTTGACAGAAAGGGAGCAAAGCATTTGGATTTTTGAACCATAAAAGCAGCACAGAGCGAAACATAGAACGAGGATAAGTTCACTGACCCTTAATTTATGGATCTCAAATTCTGATACGATGTAGTGAGCAATGTCAGAAGACAGAATGTAACCTGGTCCGTTAGCATAGGGCGGGTATCGCTCTTCTGGCCACTCCTACATTAGCATAGGCAAGAAAATTCTAAATATTCAGGTATACCAAATATATAATAGGCTACGTGTAAGCGTTGCAAAGAAATGCAGGACTTCATCATTTGGAAGCATGGTTCAGCCAGTGTGCTAAGACAACTGACACATAATTAAAGAGGAGTTCAGTGTGTGCATATGTGTATTAAAAGCCAACTCATTAATACATCCTAACAGACCAGTTCCTTGAATTCTTTTCCAAATAGTTCCTACTACTCAACTCCTCTAATAAGAACAATGCAAAAGGTTATTTATACCTGGTATGTCACAGCCCATTTACCATGGCGCAGAGGTTTGTGGAAGTGATTTATGTTACCAATGTAAAAGCTCTTATCTCCTGGAACCTTCCTTGCTTCATTTATAACAGCATCCACTTTAACAAAAGTGTCATCATCACACTTCATGATATACTTTGCAGAAACTGTGCGAAGCTGTGAATTATAAAACAAATACAATACTCACTGAAAATTCTTATTCACTCTTAAAATTTCCGTATCAATCAACAACTCACCCCATATTCACATATGGACACCGTTTTCAATACAACAAGGTCATAATTGTCCAGGTATGGCACTATAACAATATCTCCAAAAAATTCTGCTTCCTTCTTTAACTCTACATTCACTTCTTTTCTTGAATGCTGCAAGAATTTCAATTTAAACGTCAAGGCCCCAAACTGAACAGCAGATATGGAATTATAACCTTGACAATATGTTAGTCATTGTTACCACTGCTACAAAGAATCGAGTCGCAACTTTAGAAGATTGGATGAGATTGTGCTGCATCCACGACTTCCTCACAGCCATTCTCTCGGCAAAATGGTTTCCAGCAGAAAGGACCCCAATGAACAGTTCTACATCGAAACCGGGAAGTGGTGGGGCACGCCACCTTCTTGAGAAGTCCAGATGCTTCTGCGGAGCAAAACTAGGATGAACTGAAGGAAGAGAGGTAGCAAATATGGCATGGACATCAATGTCCCCACCTGAAGAAAGACCAGTGGCATCCTCAAGAGTAAAACCCTGCTAAATTCCACGAGCAATCTTGAGAATCTAGTAAAATCCATCCTCAGGTTAAGTTTGAGGATATTTACTCACTGTGCGATAAGGGAAAGAGGTCACATGTCTCCCATCAACATTAACATGAAATCCCTCCATTCCAGCACAAAGAGTAAGAACAAATAGCTTGCCCTCAGAAAATGGGAAGGGCCAGTCAACTGTTACTTTTCTCGTTCGACCTATAAGTCTGCTCAACCACCATGTTGCCTTAGATTCCACTGCATGACTGTCATCACCGCGAATCCACTTCTCACACTTCACCAGTCCATCAACTGTAGCCAACATAAGGAATTACTCAACATGATGCAATTACAAAGGAAAACAAATAAACAACACAAGGATAGATCCAATAATTAGGAACTACAACATAGTTTCTTTTTGAGACCGTTATCAATACCAAGGAGAGAAGGGAAACATGCTTACTAAAGATCAGAGAATAAAAGCCTTTAAGGTCGTAGTTAATGAGAAGAGGGGCAGTTTATGACTCGCTACTGGGAAACGAGTTAGGAAGTTTCAATGTACCCACTAGATCACAGTCACGTCCTGACCTTTTTTGACATTTCTCCACTGAAATGAGCATACCATACATTATTCTAGAAAAACAAGTTTTAAGCTGCAAAGCAAAGACATTATTGCTAAGTAAAAATGGAGTGACAAGCTTTTCCAATTATAATGCCGTCTTCTTTTCTCTGAAAGGAAAGGAGAATATTTATCAGCTATAACAAACTACAGCTTCTTGCTCTTAAAACCAAGCACGGGAAGGTCCAACCCTAGAGACCATTCTGACTTTTGACTATGCATATATTTGGGCTTGCCACTTTAACTAGCCCATCAAGGCCGGACCTGTAATCAAATCCACCACAATTAAAATTCATGTATTCAATAGCATTTATTTCTTACATAACCAAGCAACTAAAATAAGTTAAACTGATCATTTGAGGCTAGTTTATATGGCAAGAATGGGATAAAGTGTAAATAGAGTTGAATGATTCAAACCATTCCCTTGTGATGTTGTGAGATGAGGGGGTGGGGGTGAATTCAAAATTTTTTCTTCACCATCCATTTGCAGTGAGTATGAATGCCAATTACCTACCGGTCTCTTCATCAGCCTTTGATTTCCAGCCATCACACCGCTGTGCGGAACCCCAGTGCATTCTGTAACGAGTGTTTTGCTCAATTACAGGCTTCCGACTCCAATCCCCCTTCAATCTGGGATTATAATGCAAAATTCTTGGGGGATCCTCGCCATCCACAATCTTCAACCCTTGCAACTCCATGACAAACTGTGATGCTGCCACCCTAGGAGCTACACCCGGGTTGATAACCTGCGGCTTTCCTACCACTGTTATGTGGGACCCCAATGTCAATCCACAAGGAAGAACCATGACTAGCCCTCGAGCCTGAAACTCTGACCCAGACAGAGAAATGGATGGCGGGCATGACTCTGATTGGTGCTCGGCCTTTTTAGGGATGGTCCTTGAGTTCAACGTTTCCAACTCTTCCCAAATCTTCTTCCCCATAATCCAAGCATTCTTTGCTGTCTCGTAAAGCTCGGATGACCCATCCCTACCCGACAAATGAAATGTCTCATTATTGAAGATCAAGCCAGATATAATCTTGTGCTCATTCAGTTGTCTGTGAGTGCGTTGATAAGCATTTTGCGAAACTTCTTCAAGAGGTCGAGTTGGAGCTTTTATTTTATCTAAGACCTCCTCGCTCTCCAGCCCTGGACGACTAGTCAAGAAATCATGAGACACAGCACTAAACCTGGATTTGAACACAAGGGGGATTTCCAGCGTGACCAACATTATATACAGCATTCCAAATATGATCAGAATCTGAATGGGTCTCTGCCTGATCAATGACACAAAAGTTTCTAATTTCTCTATCCTACATTTCTTCATCTCTGTTTTTTAGCGTCAAATCCTTGCCAAGGATTCCAAATGTTATTGAACTTGGGTGGAGTTTCACAAAAGCTTAGAGGAAAGAATAACTACGTGAACGAAGAGAGAAGGATGCTACGTTCGGCCAGCGATACATTATGACAAGAAAGGTTTCAAAGTCGAAGAGTTGGAGGAGTTTTCGTTGTATTTGGGTGGGTGATGATGGCGCATTTTCCGAGAAAATGATAGAAATTTCCCCGAAGGAATAGAGAATAAATGTCAAAAAACTTCAAGTCGAGAACATCGATGGATTCAAATTCTGAAAAATGAATTGAATTCGTCGTAATAGCAAGATTACCCATCAAAGCATCAACTTGGACCAGATTCTTGACGTCAATGATGAAAGGACTGAAACGTTGTTAATTTGATATGTGATCTTGACGTTTACGTGAATACCTAAGAGAATCATAGCTACTATTTCCTCGGTTAAGCTGATTCGGGAGGTCCCTGCTCTTGGAGGAGAAACCATTAAAGCATTTTTACGTTCACAGTGAAGAAACCATGCATGACAATATTTTACGCTCGACCAATCAACAATCCACAAAAGCAACCAACAAGTGTTTGGACTTGGTCACCTTACACATTATATTTTGGGTTTGATTCTTAGCATGGTATATATAGAGAAAAATATTGCTGGAAAGGGTTCCATTACGGTACTTGACAGTACCTGAAAAATTAGTTTCTTACCATTTGAGTTCTGAAAGATTAGTTTTTTACGGTTGGAGACTTCGAATGGGAGAATACTCTGACTAATTAAAAAAAAATCCACAAACAGAAATAAGAAAACGGATTTTCCATATGGGCCAACGATTTGTGATTATTTTACATTTTGGTCACCGATCAATAATAAATTGACGATTTGACCCTTCATAAATTGAAAGTTGTTCCAAAATAATGTGCAACGCATGAATGAAGCATGACTCTAAAAAAATGATAACGTTTATTTCTTTAGCATAAATTTAATTTTAGTTAAGAAATACTCCTTCAATCCTTAATATAAGACCTATTTAACTAATTTGATTAAATTAAGAAAGTTAGATAAGTTAGTTAATTATAAGAAATGTAACATATTTTTCCTAAAATACCATAATCATCTTTTTAATAACCTTTCTCTATCTTCTACTTGATTATGGTTGAGAGAATATCCATAGGGGTATTAAGACCAAAATCAATTTAATAATTTAGGTCCTATATTAAGGATCAAAAGAGTATTCATTATTTAGTATGAATTTGATATGCCTGTATATATGTTATAAGAAATTGATACCATATTATAAATCGTTATTAAAATAAAATTTGAGATGAAAAAGACTGGACAATTACTTATTTGTAAAAGTAACAACAGGGAATTTAATATGAAAAAAATTAAGAGTGAAGAGATCAAATTTAAATTTTGAAATGTCAGTTGCACAACTAGCTTAAGATCCAGTAAAGTTTTGTATGTTAGCATTATAACGTTACTTTTATAAATAGATGAGTCTTGCAAATTCATCGTTACAGAGTTGCAAATAAAAGAATGAATACCGAAGCGTTGCAAGTCATCATATACTTGACAAGTTAAATTGTCCCTTCTCCTTATGAATTTCAATTGCAAGTTACTGGCTGTGAAGTTGCAATATGCAAATAAGAGAACATGAGAACGAAACCATTGGAAATCATAGTCACTTTGGCAAGTGACGCAGCCCCCTTTTCCTTCTAATATGCAAATTACCGCCTCCCTTCCTTAATATAAGGACTCATTTGATTTTTTTCTTTAGAAAGTTTTTTTATTTTATCTCTCATATTTTTTTCTTTAAATAGTCCTTATAATAATGATAATTCTAGTCAATATATTTGATTAACAAGAATATTTTAGAAAAAAAATAATACTTATTTATTATAAATAATTAACTTAATTAATTTTCTTAATTTATTTAAATTAGTCATCTAATTCTCATATTTAGTACCGAAGTAGTAGTAATTGTTATGGACTTGCAAATCAGGGTTTGAGTATAAAACTACTCAGACTCAACAACATGAACAATCCCCACTTTTCCTTTATAAACCGGGAGCGTGACTTGCAAATTATTGCTTACATGGCTGCAAATCAAGAAAATTATGTCCATTGTAGAGAGAGGGAGGGAGGGAGGGGGATGGAGGAGAGACACACAGGTAGACGACTTTGAAGCCGGTGACCTGGTCTCACTCTCCAGCCACCTTCCCGAGCTGACGACGAGATTGGGGAAGCCAACCAGAGACCCGCGCGCGCGCGCGCGCCTACATTTCTTTTTTCTTTTTTTTTTTTTTGGGCGTAACAAGCACACATTTCATCATAAGATCTATAACAAACTATTATTGTAAGTTGGCGTTGGGAACAATATGGCTTATTCATTGAGCTCCATATAATATACTCCCTCTATTTTATTATAAGATCTAATTTTTTAAATAGGTTTGTTTCTTTTTATAAAATCTTTTTTAAGTTTGAACATTTAATGCATTATTACCTATTTTACCTCTAGTTTAATGTATTTACTATCTTTTCTTTCTTTATTTATCTCACTATTACTCTATCACATCTATCTATTTATATATAGGGGTATATTTGGAAAAAAAATTATATTTGCTATATACTAATTGCTTTAACTAATTTTAATTATTTTCTTAAACCGTACAATTTAGTTAAAAGAGTCTTATAATAAGAGACAGAGTAGTATACGAGCTCATTGCCAATCATCTGGAAACACAAGAAGTATTAAACATGTTAAAAGTATCAAACAACAAATATTGTCTGTTTACATCCATATCAGAATCAGAAGTGTAGATGTAAAGCATATTTGGATCACCGTTTGAACATGAAAAAATGCATGGGAAACTGCAAAACACTTGTTGGTGATGCGGCTATAGATGGAGTGTTAGTTGGATTAAATTTTTGTCCTATCTAACTCCTGAATAAAAAGCTTGTTACAGCATAATTTAATTTTTTTTTAGCTTTTGCCCATTGCCAACGTGGAGAGAGAAGATAAAATAAAGATGAGAAGAAAAATAAGAATACTTAAATAGGTCTTAATCTTGACCTAATAATCTGGTTTTTTTTTTCTTCTTCAAAAACGTACTAATAAAAGTTAAGTATTTAATTTATTATTTTTCTCAAATTTATTAAATCACATACATATGATATATTAATTTGAATATATTAACAAAACTAAATAAATTACTCAATTATATTATATGTTCCTTAATCTCTCTAAAATACTTATATTATTAGATTACATATTATTTATAAGTCAAAAAAAATTAATTTAAAATAATAATAAATATAAATACTTTATAGTAATTTATTTAACTTTCTTAATCTTCTCAAATTAGTAAAATGAATATTATATAAAAGCCCATGATCTTTTTATTCATTTTACATTTAAACTTATTTTTTTATCATCAATCTATATAAGTTTCAGTTTTTCAAATTGACTTTTTAAAACAC